TGTATTATATAAAACTTGCTTTTTTGCTAGGTTAGACTTTTAAATTCAAGCAAACTTTAAAAAATGCTGTACATTAAAAAGCACACAAAATAAAAGTAAGATGAAAAAATACCAATTTTTTTATTTTTAAACCCCAATGACAACGATGAATAACACAACACCAGCAACAAAAAAGAAAGAAAAATAAATTTAAGAAACCAGCAAACTGTAATAAAAAAGTTACAAATAAAAACCTATTAAAGCAAAAATAAAAGTACGAAAAAAAAATCCACAACAACAAAAACAAAAGTAGAAAGAAAAAAACCGGCAAAGCTTTGGCTGGCAGTCAGTAGCATGAAACATAAACGAATAAAGAAAAAAGCAAAAACCAGTTTTTTTCTTTTACATTTTTTTGTTTGTTTGTACAAATAGTAGAATGGGAATGGTTGGTTGTTGTGTTGATTGTATCTTCTCGTACATACAAAGAAACTGAACAAATATTATGCCCATAATATACTAGAGCAATAATATACACGAGACATACAAAACAACAATAATAACAACAAAAAGCAACACACTATACTATTCGTCGTTTATACATGGTACGTATGGTGGGTTGGCGTAATAATGCTGAAGTACACAATTCGTGGTGGTACAATTTAGAATTGCAACTTTAAATCTGACTTGAATTACCGGTTTTGTAATAGAGGAAGTCATTTGGGTTCCAATAGGTTCTGTTGTTTAATAAAAAAAATTTGGTAGAATTAAAATTTTGGCTTGTAAAACTTTTAAGAGCCTATCTTCAATTGACTGACAAACATCGGTAGTAATCCTCTCATTGAAACAAATCCTCCCATCCCATTAAGCCTTCTTATTTAATAAAGTGGGCTGGTCATACCCAGATCTGGCTCTCTTAATGATCTCCTTAATGTATATATTACGGTTTTTACATTTTCACATTTGGCATACGACATTGATCGAAATCTCCATTTAGATTCTATTGAGATTTTGATCGATATCGTATGCCGTAATATGGGCCCAGAGTCGTTTGGAAGTAACGATCCAGTTGCCGTGGTAACTATGTAGCCTCAGTTTAGACAAAATGGTGTGTAATCCTGTAATCTCAGGCATCAGACACTGAAGTAGAATCCCCTTCTCTAATAGTGCCTAAATTATTTCCGATATTTTTGCAATATCATTCATCAGATAACGACTGAAATTTTATAATGCAATCTTGGTTCAAGAGAGTATTTTCCAGATTCACAAGATCAATGCCAGGTTCGGGTTTGTGAAGTTTACTCAATTTCTTGCGCCCTTCTTTAAATTTATCACTAAACATTCAAGTAACTTAGTATTTTGCTGAGCACAGACCCATGGTCGACAAAGATGAGCTCTCTGAAAGAAAGCACATTTTGGAAAATACTTAAAGTAAAATTGTCCCAGAAAAAAAAAAAACTTTTTTAACATTTCTGGAAAGATCTCAATTATCAAGAAACTGATAGTATCTCAAGCAAAATATGTATGGATATTTAGTTTCAGTTTATTGATGTCTAAGGTTTCATATATGTATGTTCTTCGAACATTCAGGATCCCGTGATTATAGATATTAAAGATTACTTATGTGCATGCTTACCTAGAAAAGGCCACAGGCTTTGAAAATCAGCTACCACGAATTATTTATCATTTCAAACCAATAACCCTTTAGAAAAAAATACAATGACATCTTAGTCTTTGTTGTCCTTAAAAGGATTAAGAAGCTTTATATAAGCTGATAAGCCAAATTTCATTTAATAGTAAATCTACCCACCTATAATATCAGAAGTGTGAGTAATTGTGAAGTTGGATAAACTGTATTTTTTATGTTTGTTGAAAATAAAAAAAATAAAAACAGCTTACACATTTACAATTTTTAAATTCGTAGCAATAACAAAAATTGTCAGCAAAAAATATGTTTTTTTTGCCTTATGAGTTAACAAAAAAATACATGCATACATACACACATTTAAAAATATATGTACACAAATACAAACTTTTTTCTTCTTAAACCAAAAACTTTAAATGAAAAAAATTCTGTTTTAACTTTTTTAACACGGAAAAACAAACAAAAAAGAAAGTAAAACTGTTTTTTTTTTTTTCTTTTATTAGTTTGTTACTTTAACTTTTTATAGTATGTATAAAAAAAGTATGCTTGTTTGTTAAATGACAAAACAGCTGCATACAAACAAAACAAAAAGAAAAAAAATAAGACGTGCAAACATACATACATACATTTAGTATGTAAGTTTGTCTACATAAAATGTAATGTAATTTTATTTTATAAGTATGTCTCATACGTTTGAAGGAAAAAAGGAAAGAGGCGTCAGTAAGAAAACGAAAGAGAGGTAGAATTTAATATGGGTAAAACTTGTTCAAAAAAGTTTTATGTCGTAATTTTGTTTTTAGTTTTTCCGAGTTTTTATTTTCTTTAAACAGATTTTCTTTTTACTTACTTTTTCTTAAAGTATTACGTTCTTAGGTATGTGTATGTACATGAACATAAATAATAACGCAGACGTCATATTAAACAAATACTGTGTAGATGTAGTATGTATGTATACCTATATAAAGTATTTTTAGTTTAATAAATTTAAAGCAGATATTTTTAAATGCTTGATATAAAAACAAGTAAGAATGTATGTTAAAAATGTGAATTATTTTTTTAGTATAAATTTTTTTCCTTAATTAATGGGGGCAAAGGTAAATATACTCCTATCCGGATAAATTTTGGTAGAGCGATTAACGATGACATTAAAGTTATTTATTCAGAATTTCAAGGTGATAGTAGTGTTTAAAGGTGAATTTCCACCTTAAGTCATTTTCTAAGAGTACTTTGTATGGGGCCTAGGGAAAAATGAGGCCCTATCATTAGGAAAATCGGCAGTATCATTTAGACTTATATACAATTAAGATTTTTCGATTTTTGTAGAGATTGTACAATATTTATCAGAAGTGATTCTGAGCCAATTGGTATACTTTAAGGTGGGTGTAGGATCAATAGGGCGTTGAAAACGTCAGCACAAACGCATAATACACTGCCACTAGAATGATGTTAAGTATTACTATAATATTATATAAACTGTTCGACTAAATACGTGTAATAGATATGTACATACATGTACATGCTTTTCAAATTTCGATCAGTGTTGCAAAGTTTGACCAAAATCCATATAATCCAAACCTATATCCATATAAAAAAATCAATAATTTATTAACCCCCTTATTCACAAACAACATTTTTATTTTTTAAAAGGTTTATAAAACAAAATTTCCATACAAAATCTAATTTATAAACTGTTTATAAAATAAGAATTTTGTTTGTGAATAAGGTTGTAAATATATAAAAAATATTTTACCTAAAAATAAACTAACGTAAAAATGAAAATATAAAACTGACTGCAGTAATTATAAATTTCTGTAAAAATTTCAATTTGTCAAACACCGGATATTGGCAGAACGTCACTTTTGTCGAACTGTATTAACAAAATAGCATCAAGAGTGTTGAAAACCATAAGATCTATCTAATGAATATCTTACTGAAGACAAACAACTAGGTATGTTAATTTTTGTTAAGTTGAACCTGATGCACTTTGTTAAAGTCCATTATCTGTTATAGGGACCTATGAATTTCAACTTTCTTAAATATTGTTTAGTTCAAAATCATTGTAGTCTCGTTAAATTGTTGCATTTTTAAAAAATATACATATTTAAAACTAAATTTTAAGAAACAGAACTTTATTTTTTATTGAGTATTCAATCGAATTCAGAAATGTACATTTACAATAGAAAAAAATCCCTTAACAAAGTGACCAATACCATAAACACATAATTTTTTTTTATACCTACACGTTTTTTATTATTTATATAATGGTTTTCTTTACAAATTTTCTTTAAAATACAACAAATCAGATTTCTTTAAACAAATATTTCATAATTTTGAAAACAAAGAATTTTTCATAAACATGAACAAATTTTCTTTGTACAAACAATAAAATCTTAATCTGATATTCTAAAAATAGATTTTTAAAACAATTTCTTTTAACAACAATAGAAACCAAAAATCAAACGAAGAAACAACCGACTGAGACTATAAATAAAAAGCTATTAAAAATAAATACAATCGAACGAAGAAAAAATCGCAAATAGTATTAAAGCACAAACGGCCACAAAATTTAAAATAAACATAAAAAAGAATTTTATTTTATATTTATACAATTTATACGATAAAAGAAAAAAATATGCATTTGCAATGGAAACCAAGTCAAGGTAGCGAAAAAAAAAAAATAAACAACAAAAATAATTGATTTATAAAGTCGAATAATGAATGCATTAAAAAAACATGTGCTTTTAATGTACAATATAAAAAACAACAAAATATCTGCACCATATAAGCAACACAACAAACAAACAAATATACATTTGGGAAAATTTTGTCTCAAGCGAAAAAAGTACAACAGACAACAACAACAATTACAAACAGGAAAGAAAATACCGCGCAATGCAATGTGTCAAACTACACAAACAACATAAACACACAATACACCAGCTAGTCAGTCAGTCAGTCAACCAGCCAGCCAGTCACTCACTCTTTCAAGCAAACAAGTAACCAGCAGAAATATAGGAGAATGTCAAAAAGAAAACATAGTAGGCAGGCGAATTTGAAAAATACATATTCTGCTTAGTACTCGTTGTTACTTATTTGTGTGTGTGCAAAATTTTAGTAACGAGTAATAGCTACACGGCGAATTGGCTGACAAACGCAAAAAAAAAAATTAATTGTAAAAAAGAAATGTGTGAATGCATAAAAAATATGTACATGTACACATAAAGATTATCATTTTTGATTTTATTAAGATTCTTTCAATATATCAATCACCATTTGCTCTAAAAATAATTATGTTTTTCATATTTATTAAAATTCTTATCTATTTTCATTGTAAAATGCTGTACTTTTTCTCAAGTATTTTCGTCATCATAACACTCACCACACACACACTCTCTTTATAAGAAAAACTTTCACAATATTGAAAAACAACAATGTTTTGCATTAAATATTTTTAAAACGATAATTCAAGTATTTCTTTTATTGTTAATTTATTTCCTTCTGATTAATGCTTCCTTTTCACTACAAAAATGTGTTTTAACAAAAGTGTGGTTGGTCTCTTTTCTTTCGAGTTTTTTCTTTGTCGCGCGGCGGCTACTTTGACCAATAAACATCAAAAAAAAAGTAAGGAAGAAATTAAACAATGCTGTTTTTCGTTTACTTGTTAAAAATTATGTTTTTTTCAATAAAATACACATAAATTCACTATATTTTATTAACTACACACATTTATAGCAATTTTAATAACTTTTATTACTTGAATTAAATTTATTTTATAATTTTTCACGAGTTTTTACTTTTTTTATTCAAGCAACGCGTCCATAAAAATTCCAACTTTACACTCGTACTTTTCAAAATGGCGGAAAATGTTAAAAGAAATCAACGAACACGGCCACTTTTTCTGTTTTTAGTACATTAATGACGCCGATTGCAACCAATTCGCCACTTTCAATATTTTATACTCGTCGTCGTGTTTCTCATCTATTTTTTTTTCATTCGTTAACCACCATCAACGAATATTTTTTTCTTTTTTTTTTTTTGTTTTTTCACCCACAATTTTTTCACTCTTTTACCACACAAAAAACGAATATTTTCTCAATTCTTATTGAATTGTGCAAAGAGATATAAATTGCATATAAAATTTACCATATATTTTGTAAGATTTTTAATAAATTTCTTGCTTTTCGATATACCCGTAAAATATTAAAAAGTGCGGCGTCAATATGAAACAAAAATGTCTGATTACTGCAATGTACAAGAAGCAACTAACAAACAACAACTAATAAGTAAAATGTGATTAACAACGAATTGATGTTTTAGCACAGAAAATAACGAACAATATAGAGTTGTATTTCAGGAACCGTTTTATCTAAGAGGCTTCGCTTTTTAAATTTAATGTAATGACAGAAAAATATGCCAATTTACATAGTTAAGAAGTTTAAGTTTTAACAGAAATTTAAGATATGGAGTTATTATTTTAAACCGTTAGATATATTTCAAATTTATCGAAAACATAAATTTGCAATTTAAGAAGTTATACCAAACATCCATATTTTACGTACCCCCACATTCTTTTTGGGTCAGCTTTTTACGTTAATGATTAAAGTACGTCCTTTTATTTTTTATGAAAAAAAGCAACTTTAGTGGCTTGTTATTAAAGAGTAATTTAATGTTGATGGAAACAAAATACATTTTCTATAGCTCCGAAGTATGGCCTACAATACTACATTGAAAAATTTGTTAAAATGCTACATAAAAAAATAGTTTTGGCCAAAGAAAGTGGTCGTCTGAACCATAGTGCAGTGTACAAAACTCGATAATGTTGTTCATTTTTTTTATTTTTATAAAAACCTTACAATAATATATGTACATACATATTTTGTTTGGAATATGACAATTATAAGGAGGCCGTTATTTATGATTTTTCACCATTGGATGCGGCCTTACAAATGATAACCCATATATGTATATTGTATCAAAAATATATATGGGCAATTTCGTGTCAAGTGACCCAACTCAAAAATCGATTTGGATGAAATTTGCAGCGAGTTTAGTACTATTGTATAGTAGCCAGACACAAATTTTCAGCTCTATCGGTCAAGAACTGCCGGACTTAGAGGGGGTCGTGGCGAAACTCTGCCATGATGTGAACCTACTTACATATATCACTAAAAAATTTCATTGAAACTAAAATCGTGTTATTGTTACCCATGAAAATTTAAGAAAATAATTAGAAAATACCTTTTTTTAATATTGATCCAGCTTACGAATGGTTATCGCTAGACTCAAAATACCTATATTGAAAATCGTTCTAAAACAGAGCAAAGTAAATTTTAAGAGGGGTAACAACACGATTTTAATTTCCATGTAATTTATTAGAGATATACATATGAATGTAGGTTCAGATTATTGCAGAGCTATGCCATGATTCACATAAAATTGTTTGGGTAGATTTGTGTCGCTATACCTATAGGTTGTGCTTATAGAGACTGCCGACAAATGTGGACCGATTTTCATAATATTTAAGAGAGTTATAGAAAAATAATTTGTTTAAAATTTGATAATTAAATATTTTAAACATTATGCTTTTTATTTTGAGGAGCAAAATTTTCGATTAATCGATGCAGAAAATCGATTTGAGTATAAAATTGGTAGTGTAGAATCGATCACAAAATAATCGATTTTTTACAGCAATAATCGATTAATTGTCATAATCGAAGTCGATTAACTATTCCCTATAATACATCATTCCAAACGTTATCACTGTAATAGAATTATGGCAGAATTAAAAAAATACTTTAAATTATGGAGAACTTGGTCCATAATTAACCCAATCCCACATTTAAGTCCCTATTCCAAAAATCACGCTGATGTTCTTATTAATCTAATGATCAAAGTCCATATACATATGTATATGACCACTGCCGAAATTTGCTTTTTTACGACATATGATTTGCCGAATAGATATAACTCTTACTTCTTAATTATTTTAATCATAAATAAATTACCGCTAAAATAGGAATAATCTGACTTTAGAGTTGAGAGTTTTCATACACTCTAATAATGTTTTCGAAGTGAAACTTTTGGAATATTTTTCAATATCTTTGTGATTCCTTTAATTGATGTTGTTCTGTTTGTCTTTTTTTAAGAAAATCTTAAAACTTATTGAAACTTTTAAAATTTGGTGTTCTTCAAATCGAATTTTTATTTGAATGTAGAATTCAGAAAAATAAACATATTTTAGCTTTGTTCCAGAACTTTTCTGGCTAAAGAGAATTAATGAATTTTCTCCTCGTATTTGTAAAAAGTACGGGAACAGAAAAAACTAAATTTCTCTTTCAATAAGTAAAAAATTTCAAACATTTTTTGTTTTCAATGTACTTTTTAAAGAAATAATTAATTTGATAATTTTTTTTCTATTGCCAGGAAAAAATTTTCTGGCTAAAACCGACAAGTTCTGGCAAGAAAAACTATTATTATTTCCATGGTTATTTCCTAATTTTGTTCTCTTTTACAATTTCTGATAAAAACCTGCAAAGATAAAAAGTAAAGAAACACAGCTTTTATATGAAAAAGAGTTTAAATGCCCATAGCATTTATATTTAGTTACAATTGTATTAAAAAACGCAGAAAAATAATTAATATTTGAAAACTTAGCCGGCTTACAGTCGAATTTAAGCCACCGCCGACATATTTGGTGTCAGTCGCCGCCGCGTTAATATTTGTCGGCGCAGGACTCTGGTGCATGCTAAAACAAAGTTTAAGAACAATCTATAAAAAATATTCAAAATAAATACAAATTGACGAAAATAAATTGGAAAAAATATTAAAGCAATGTCAAGTAGAAAAGCATCTCACGCTGGAAGTTGGTATACGGACTCAGGTCAGTAAACTTTAGAAAAAAATACATTAATAATTTATAAGTCTAATGAAATAAACAGAGTGTGATTAAAGAACTTAATAATGATTAGGTGAAAGAGACAGACGTTAGTGCACTTGGGTATATTGTTTTTGAACATTAAAACCTCTTAAGAATAAAAAATATCTCAAAAATGAAAATAGCCCTTTAATCGAAATTAATGTGGGATATTATATATACATTAATAATTAAGAAAGAATTTTATCTAAAGAGGGCCTATATGGGGAGGAACGGAAGTTGGTGGTTTAGATTTATAAAAATTTGTTACTCAATTTCATCGCTAAAATAAATATGTACCTATTGGATATGTTTATTATAAACAAAGCAAATTGTCCGATTTTCACTTATTCATTTACTAAAAGACTGATATAACTCAACATTTGAGTTTTTAAATAAATATGTATGTAGGTATGTACTAAAAAAGGTATATATGAGCCTCACAGGATAATTTTGTGATCTGGTTCCTACTTTGTCAATTCTATAACAGATTGCATTCGAACCGGTTTCTCACTAGAATCGGAAAAAATTGCAGGTAATTTCTATAGAAGTTTGCGAGGAATTACATATAATTTACTACTGATCAAATTTAAGAAATTATGCTTTTAAATAGCATAAGTTATTTGTGTTTAACAGTATGCCACGCCTTAATTACCAATATTTAATATAAAATTCTTTACTATTGATATTTATGGTCATTCAGAATTATGGACTAATTTCAGTTACATATTATTAAAAAACTATCTTCATTCTAGAACATAATACATACATACATACATATGTATGTATATACATATATATTTTACGGAGTTGTCAGATAAATTATTCACAATGTTTGCAAAGCCTAAAAGAATGACTTGACTCATAGATACATAGGGGTATTTCAAATATTTTCATCTATTATATTACTTTCTCCTTCTTGAATTATTTGTTGTTGAATATCATTCACGCGCTCGTAAGAAGCTTCTGCTACTCTTGCCATACGTTTTTGTAAAAACATGCAGTCATCCCGTTGCCGTCGTAACTTCTCCAAACCCTGCTCCAACTTAGTGCACGTACGAAAAAACTCACTTATTTCTGGAATATCACCAAACTCACCAGGATGATTACGAAATTTGGTTGTAACTTCTTTGGTCAATTCATTAAGACGATTCTCCATGTATTTTTCATCAAAAGAATGTTTTAAATCATCGACAATAGTCTTTAACGAATCAGAGCTACGTTCATTTAAATGTAAATCTTTGATGCGATTTTTTAGACAACCAAAGTTAATGCTTTCAAAACGTCCACCTATATTTTGAAATAGTTTGCAGCATTCATCCAAATCATATTGCATTTTCTGTATGTCACCATTAATGCTGCCGATATTTGTGTTATCCAATATAGCACTTCTCGTTGAGGTAATTGCTTTAGTTGCTGAACTGTTGTTACGACAGCTAGTTGTACTAGGCGTACAAATTTCACTTGTATTAGGAGATTTTATGTCTATAAGTTCCTCATTATTGGGTTCAATTTTAGAATCAGGGCTATTATTTTCAGATCTTTAAAAAAATATTAATTATGTATGTGTACTTAAAACTTTTATTTATCTTTATTTTGTATTTACCCTTCATCAATAATAGAAATCAATTCATTTCTTATCGCCTCCAATAGTGTGTTGGTTGTATCTTCTTCGTTTTCCATGTTATTTATTATTAAGAACAAAAAAACCAATTTATCTAAATAAAACAAGAGCTGAATTGCTTTCTTTGTTTCTAATTAAAAAATAAAATTCTTTGTATTTAAGTTGTTTGATTGATAAATCTTGTTACTATGGAAATTTTTTGGGGTTTACAATTTAAGTTGTTTTAGTTTAGAAATGGTATGGATCTGAATTTGTAACAGCATTTTATACTAATTCCCCTGACAAGAACGGAAATGGGAAGGGTGAAATACAATAGGAATATATACAAAAAATTATAACGTATTCATCTTTCATTCCAATTTCAGTCGAATTTTTCTCCGTTTGGGAACTTTGATATTCTACATTTCGATTCAGAATAGGGATTATAAATTGAACTTTCTTACTGTTATTTTATAGTTTTTTTTTTTAGGCTGAGAATATAGGCGAATTTATCACTTTTACTTGTCATTAAAGAGTTTTTGTTTCAACTTTTTTTAGCTTCGGAACTTTCACGCCAATTAGACAATTGGTTGGGTGCTGCCGCACTTTCACATGGACCAGCTAGAGCAATAATTGCTCCGTAAGTACAAAATTTCCTTATATTTATTAAATGCAATTTATGCCTTAATATTATTTGTTATTATGTTTTTAGTCATGCAGGTTATACATATTGTGGAGCCTGTGGTGCTTTTGCCTATCGGCAAGTTAGTCCAGCTGTAGTGTAAGTAGAATTGAATAGGTATAACTGTATTTATATAGCATAATGATATATTATGAAATGATTTATTTATAGTAAACGAATTTTCATTTTGGGTCCTTCGCATCATGTACGTCTGCGAGGCTGTGCTTTATCCATTGCCAAAAAGTGTAAAACCCCACTTTATGATCTCAAAATTGACACTGAAGGTTTGTATTATATATCATACAAATATAATGAAAAAATTCTCGAGTTTGGCAATTTTCATTTCTCAAACAGTTAATGCAGAACTTGAAAAGACTGGACATTTTTCGTGGATGGATATGAAAACAGATGAAAATGAGCATAGCATTGAAATGCATTTGCCCTATATAGCCAAAGTTATGGAAGAGTATGTTAAGTTTTTGTTAAAACTGAAATGTTTGCTTAATTTAAATTTATTTTTTTCACCTAAGTTTCAAAGATCATTTTACAATTGTACCAATACTGGTGGGTTCTTTAAATCCTGATCAAGAGGCTTTATATGGACGTTTATTAGCCAATTATTTTACGGATCCACAAAACTTATTTGTGATATCATCAGATTTCTGCCATTGGGGTCATCGTTTCAATTATACATATTACGATAGAGCCTGTGGTCCTATCTATAAATCCATTGAAAAGTTAGACAAACAAGTAAGTAGCCTAAATCTAATGTAAAATTATAAACCGTATTATTTTTCACATTTAATTTAAGGGTATGGATATTATAGAAACGCTAAAACCTGAAACTTTTACCGCCTATTTGCGCGAGTTCAACAATACAATATGTGGTCGTCATCCTATTGGCGTCATGCTTAGTGCAATTAAAGTTCTTCAAGAACAAGGTTACAATATGAGCTTTAAATTTTTGAAATATGCTCAAAGTAGTCAATGTAAGAATATGGATGATTCAAGTGTTAGTTATGCTTCCGGTTCGTTAATATTTGAATGTTAAAATATTACTTGGCGCTTTATTCTACATGCATATTCATTTTGATCAATTTGATTTTTTTGTAATTTTTCTTCAGATAATCGCAAAACTGTCGATTGCAAAATAAAATGTTATTGTAATATTTTTGAAAAATACATAATGAAAGTATCCGCTTGCAAAAACTTTTTCTATCAAATCTTAATAAAATTTAGGTATTATTATTATTTACCCATAATCCCTCAATAATTTAACACAAAGTCCAATATATTAATAATAAAATAATTTGTTTTAAATAATTCTTGAAAATTGTTTTTTTATTTTTGAATTTTAAATTAACATATTTCAAGGTGTATTACAATTAAAGATGGCGTTGAAGATGAGCCATTTTAGTTTTCACTCGATTTAAATGATTTGTTGTTGTAGCAACAGTTTAACTGTGTTCTTTCCTGGGGAAAAAGATTTTTGTTGATGCAGCAGCCACTCTTTACTCACTTATTACTTTTTTGTCTTAATAGTTTTACTCACAACTTCCAGAATTAAACCAGCTGGTTTCATTTATGATGTTGAGGATGTGTTTAAGATTCGTCTCAGATATCTCCTCCGTACCTAAGAGAAAAGAAGAACTCAAATATAGTTCCCTACTCTTAGTAAGTGTCGGACAATAGCATAGTATGTATATTAGACACAGGTTTTTCTTCCTCTTCGTTATGAAAACTGTACAGTAGTCATTTTTTCAAGGCCTAATTCATGCCAGATATCTCCACGATACCAAAGAGAAAAGAAGAACCCAAATATTGTTCCCTACTGTCAAAACGGAGTCCGTTCGACTCTACTTGACTGTTCTCTACTCTCAGCAAATGTCGGACAAAAGCATAGTAGATGAGACACAGTCTCTTCATTCTCTTCGTTATGACAACTCTAGAGGTTATACTAGTGGATTAAACATCTGACTTGAGCCTTTTCATATAGTTAATTTTCAGCAAGTGCCTTACAATTTGTAAGAGAAATATTAATTAAGTCGTCCCTCATTTAGTGTTTATAAACCGGTTAACCGAAAAACCGGTTTTTATTGCATAGTTCAGTTTTTCGCAAACCGGTTTTTTAAAACATTGGTTTTCGGTTAATCGGGTTATCCGGTTTTTAAGTCTCGGTTAACCGTTTTCAAAAAAATTAAATTTTTAGTGCAAAATTGTAAGTTTTCTTGGATTTTTTATTGTGATTTTTTAAAAATTTTGGATAGATAATTCTAATCATTATTTTCCGTTTATGCATATGAAAATAGACCTAAGATTGTTAAACAAATGTTAAGAGATGTTAAACATATATTATGTACATGAAATGGAGATAAAATGGAGATTTACAATTTCAGACAATCAGGAAATTAGTAAAAGGTTGGCATTTAAACCAATAAAAAATTAACTATTTAAACAAATTCCAACCATTATATGAAGAAATTTGTTATTTATTAAGACGAATAAATATCGCAACATAAGTGTTGTTGTCGCTGTCCGAGAATTTATGCTGCTGGGCTTTTTCACAAACTGTAATGGCGCTTAGGTTGATTGACACGAAATCAGAATAACAATTAAAGCAGGGGCTCAATGTCTATGTCGAGACAGTCGTCGTCTACTTCCGTTCCCGATGAATCGTCGCGTGCCTGAACACTATTTATACTTGATAGTCCTGGACAATTTTTTATTGATGTAGATGCATTATATATTCAAAGGTCAATTTATCCCTCCTATGGCAACTTCCATATACCTAACGAATCAATAATATCTTCAGATCTCAGATAAGTTTATTTTCTTATGATATAGTAATGTACATATATATCTATACTATAAAGTGCAAATATATTATTAAGTAATTCATAATATTTAGCAAAATGACATTTTTAAACTTAATATTATAATATTTTAAAGATTTCTAAACATTTCGGTTAACCAGTTTTTTATACTAGGTTAACCGACAAACCGGTTTTCTAGAAATGGTCAATTTTCGGTTAACCGAAAAACCGGTTTTTCCTAAAATCGGTTTATTATAAACGCTACCCTCATTGCATCAGTTCTTGCTAGTTCGTCGGCTATACAGTTACCCTGACAATTTTTATGTGTTATCATAGAATGACACGCCATCTTCTTTAGAGACAGTAAGGATCCAGATATATGTATACCCAGAACTACATATATATTTTATAGTACAGATCTTGCCGACCGGTCGTTTTCGAACAGTTTAAAATACGTTAATCCGGTGTTCCCCTCAAGAATCATATTCCGAAAATGTGTTATATGAAAGCTCAAGATCGTTGCCTACCCTTCTATCTATTTTCTATTCGCAAGATATTTTTGGACCCAAGTTTAGATGCAACACACTTTGTGTTGCATTTTAACACTCTTTGTTATAAAAACTTCCATTAACTTTTTTTGTTAATTAAAAAATTTAAATCAAAGTAATGTCAGCATTAGTAAAAGTATTTAGCTCGATAACACTGAAAGGAAATATAAAACGAAGAGTAAAACAAATACTTAATATTTGCATCAATTAATTAGAGGTTATGAGTTTAGGTTTTTTTTGTTTATATCCCAGCAAAAAATAATTGATGTCATACTTTACAAACGACATCTTAATCACATCTAAAAATGCGATTGCATACTTTTCGCTTTTATAAACCAAACATATCCTCACAAATGAAAACACAGTTAAAAATGAGAAAAGAGATGTAGAAAAGTCACTACAAACAACATATTCGAAGTACTTCAAATTTTGATGAAAAACCAATGAAATTTACATAAGCGTTTCATTGAAAGAATGTGGTTTATTTTTGACATACAAATATCGGATTTTTACAGCTTCTAAAGATAAGATTAGATGTAGTTCAAAGTTGTCAAAAATGAACAACATCCCTCCAATGACACGCTAATGTAAAATTCATAGGTTTTTCACCTGAATTTGAAGCACTTCGGGTTACTAGTTGTGATGAAAATTCTACATCTTTTTCCACACTTTTTTTGCTGGGTTGTGATGAAAATTCTACATCTTTTTCCACACTTTTTTTGCTGGGATCTTGTATATATTTTGTTTTTCAAATTTGTTTGCCGTTTTCAAATTAGTAATTTTTTATTTTTGCGCTAAACTAATACGCCATATACATACATAGAATATTTCGTTATATTAAATATTGAATTATTTGTTTAATAATAGAATGAAAATAAAATATGTAATTTGATAATTAATTAGACACTTTACTTTAGTTGTTGTTAATAAATTGCAAAATACTGAATGTACTAAACGTATGTATTTACGAAAACAAGGGTTTGTGTATATGTGTTGGTGGTGTGTAAATTGTATACAAATTGAAACAAGTTGAATAGAAAAACTAAGCACAAGCATATTTCAATACTACTAATTTTTATGTTTGTATGTATGTTGTCTTGTATGCATGTAAAGTGGTCATTTAAAAAAAGGAAAATCACACTTTTCAATTATTAGTTTTTTTTTTTGTTAATAATAAGATAGAATAAGCATTCACTTGTCGTTTTTGTTTTAGTTTTTATTTTCTTCATATAATTCTATTAATGTTTTTTTATTGGATTTATTCCTTATTTCTGTTTATTGCAAATAACAATTGTTCATCAGCATTGAGTGTGTTCACAATTATAGAGTTACGTTTAGATAGAGAGTTAATAAAATCTATTCTTCGAATAGTTTTTGTTTTACATTTTAAATAGTAGATATTTTACATTCAAAATGAATGTTCGAGAGTGCGTTTTATTTTGTTTTTTCCTCTGGCTCAATTTAGAAATTGTTATTGATGGATGGTATTGAGATAAGAGATAATTACCACCAACCATTCGAAGGATTATTAGCACTAGTTGTAGCGGTATTACCATGTCCAACACAATGACCACTGCCGTTCATTTGAGAGCTTTGCTCTTCAGTTGATGTGTTTGAAATTTGTAGGGAATTCATATTTTGCACAAATCCCTCAAGGGTATTTTCATCTAAGTAGGGTGAAGTACGATGACTGGCTGGGCCAGTTGGTCCATTCTTTATTAATAAATCATTAAAATCCAATATCGTATTGTGACTGTTATCACCCGCTACAGCAGCGACATTTGTTGTTGTTGGCGGTGTTTGTTCGAAATCGTATTTCATCGAGTTCTCCAATTCGTTTAAATTCAAGTGCATATTATTACTAGGGAAAATGGTAGTAGCATCTATAAAAAAGTGAAAGAAAAAATGCGGCTAAAATTTAAAAGTCGTAATTTCTATTTTAAGTCTATTTATGTAAAATCTATGTAAATCTCCCAAAATCTTCGAAAATTCAAAGTAAAGTATTAAAATAGTAATGTGCAAAATTGTGTTAATGTTTTTAAAATAATCTTTGGATCATAAACTTTTAAAAAAAGTTTGTTGAAATTTCGGTCTTATGTTCGAAAATGATTATATTCTAAAATTCGAACTTATGTTCGAAAAATTATTAATGCAATTGATTATTATTTTAATGCTTTTAAAATAATTATTTATTTTTTGTGGGTCAATGGTTGGTTCGAATTAACTGTGGAATTGAAATCAAATAGTATTGTAATATAAACGTTTACTTGCCATTGTTGTAGTCATTTAACGGATCACGATAATTGCCTCTAAAATTAGTTTGATTTGCCTGCACAGCCGTAGATTCATATAAACTTGTAGACGGTGGCCTGTTACCATAGACAGGGGTAATTTCAACACGATGAGCCTGCGGTGATTGGGCATTACGGGCAAAATTTGAGTCATTAACATTATGTATAGACACCTGTAGAAAAACAAAACGGATTTATTAAAAATGAAAACTTTTCATGGAAAAAGGAAAAATAAATTATTAAACACTCACCTCATTATTGAGATTCTGTCCCGGTATTAAATTCTTTAAAAAGGAAGCATCATCATAACGTATAACACCCGTATTTGGTATACCTTCTAGGTATGAATTGTAACCAGTTATAGAGGGTGGTGGCGAATCATCGCCACAACTATGATGCATATGGGCACAAGTAGCAGCCGAACTACTGCTGCCACCACTGCCAGTGGCAGTGAACACGTCAAAACCATTATAATACTTAGATTGTTGATATTTTTCCTGTAATGATAAATCAGTCACCGGTGCAACAACACCACCTCCAGCAGCACCACTTACTACTGCATTAGCACCACCTTCTGTAACGGTACCCAAAAACGATGTATTGCAACCTACTGTTTGAATAGAAAAAATGAGAGGAAATGGATTAAAAGTGTAAATATGATTGATATCTTAAGACGTAAACGTACAATTGTCATTTTTATTCATGGGCAGTGTATCTGAACCAAAATTAGACCATTGTTGTTCGACTTTAGTTTTTTGTTTCTGTTGTTGAGCGTTTTTTATTTCGCTTCCAATAGCAGAAATAGGACGTTGTTGTGGGGTAGGACGTTGTATTACAGCTGCATCACCGATTAAACCGCTCACACTACTACCGCCACTACGTCCATGGTTCAATTCCGCTCCTCCAATACTGGTACAACTAATGCTGATGTTATTGTGGGGTGTATTTGTTTGTACCGCGTCACTGGAGAAATATGAAAACGATGATGATGATGATGGATTGTTGCCACTAGTTGTGGAAGACTTGTTATTATTATTATTATTATTATTTTCGTTATGTTGTTGCTGCTGTTGATGTTGTTGTTGCTGTTGACGTGTTGCTCTTGCAGCTTCTGCAGCTGCTTCTTGAGGAGTGTAGTAATTAACATTTCCCCCAAATTGTCTATATCCTCCCATAGCCAAGCCACTAGTAACAGCCTGGTGTAATGCTGGATTACGTATGGTATACATACCATTTTCATTCTTAATAATAGCTGCTGGTTGATCAACTGGCAAGGGTGCAGGCATAGGAAACCCATCTGCTGGACGACCTTAGGAAATTGGGAGGAAAATTAAAATACATGTTATTTTAGTTTTTAACTATACATACCTGGTAATAGGACTGGTTGTTGAATCATTGCTGTAGCTGCAGCAGTGGATCCACCATGGAACATAGGATTTCTTAATGTTATCATTTTCGGTTGTCCACTATTTTCAGACTGATTCGAATTAACAGAACTTGCCATGGAGCATGAACCATTATTGTTAGTAGTAGCCTTTGATTTGTTGCGTCTCTTCTTATTTTTCGATTGCTTACTATTGCAATTGCTATTGGCCACGTTTGTCTGCGATATAGTATTATTTCTGATGTTGGATTGAGTTTTAGGAGGATTAGCTTCAACCATTATTATACCACTTTGAGGATCAATGCCTGCGGTGGCGCTGGCGGCATTAATATAAGGCGAACCATAATAACTGGCCATGGGGTTGACAACAGGTGGTGCTATAATAGTAGCTCCCGACGCAGAATGATGGAATGTTTGTGGATTATGTTGTTGATGGTGAAGATGTTGCTGTTGCTGCAGAGGTTTTGCTAATTTCTTAATCGATTCAGATTTTTGACGCAGCTGTTCACTCTTAATGGGATCAACTTTTGTGAGAGTGATACCAGGCGGTAGAGAAAGGTTTTCAACTTGAACACCACGATTTAGCTGATCCATAATACTGACATTTGCCGAATTGATATGTTGTTGACGTTGTTGAGCTGTCGCTGCGGCAGTTGTTGATTGAACTTGATGGCCACTTAGACGCAAAGCTTGCATTTGATCGGCCAACGCTTGATAGGAGCGATTTTGAGATGCATTAGTGTGTGCTGGTTGTTGCGTATGTGCCGAGGTGGCTGATGATGTTATATTAACTTCATTAGCATTAAAGTAGCCCATATGGTTGGGTATTCCAGATGAACAACAATTCTGATGGTGGTTATGATGCATATTCGAAGAGTGTTTCTGTGATTTTTGTTGATATTTTTTATTGCGTTGTGATCGTTTGTTTGAAGAAGTCCTATTTTCTGTAGTTGTAGACGGCGGTTGGGTATTTAGATGCTGATGATTATAATGTTGATAATTATGTTGGTTCTGTTCCAGATTACCAGTGTTTCTATTGTTATTACGATTATTGTTACTGTTGTTTCGAGAGCTAGTGGAGCAAGCCGATTGTTGATTACGTGCATTGGAAGAATTGTTTGTCTGTTTATTATTGGGTTTATTTTGAGGCATAAAACTGTTGGCATTTGTTTGACGGTTTTCATTTTTTCCTTTACGGCTATTAGGCATCCCACTATTATTTTGTTGTATAGTTTGTTTTGGCAGCCGCACTGGTTTGGTTGCTTTATTTTCTTCCTCCTGTAGTCTTTGTTGTGCTCCTATTGAATTATTTATTTTTGTAGCAGTATTCTGTTCCAACTTTTCGTTTGGCTGTTGGTATTTTGTGTTCTTATTGCTTTTAGATGTCTTGCTGGTTAAGTTTTTATTTCCTGTTGACGATGATGTTGACGGTTGCGGTATTTTGCGGTCTTTACTTTCATTTAATATTTCGGCTTTGTTTTTCTGATTTTGTGTTGAATTCGACTTAACATTGTTGCTCTGTTCTTCGCTGTGTTTAGATTTTGGTTCATTCTTTTGAATTAAAGTTTTTTGAACTGTCACTGAAGTTTTGTTCATTTTGACATCTACTTCATTTTCAGTATCTTCATTTGCTTCATCATCTTCTGCAGAGGACCAATCAGTTTCAGAATCTTGCATGTGTAACGACTTAAATGGATTGTTATCAAATTGTCCATTGTCTACTAATTTAGGGCGTCGTTTTTTATGTTCCTTGATTGGCTGTTCAGGAGTAATAACAGGTTCTTCTTCGTCTTCAGTTTCGTTATCAGAACTTGGAGGCGTTATTGGCTTCGGATTGGTTTTTAATTTTTGTGGCAAGTTTTGTTGTTTATTAAGTGAAGATTTTGTTGATTTCGTAGCTTGTGTTTGTTGTTTTTGATTTTTAGAACTCGCAGGAGGTGTTGGTGCTTTTGTTTTATCTAATTCTTGCCGTTCGTCTCCGTCTTCAGCATCTGAGGATGTGGTTGATGGAGTTGGTGGTATTCTTGTTGTTTTTTTGCTTTGTTTTTGCTGTTTCAATTGGCTGGTCTTTGTTTTATTCTTGTTAGCAGCGTTAGGCTTTTGAATGGTGCCTGTTTTTTGTTCCTTTTCTGTATTCTTTTTATTGTTAGCAGAGTTCTTTTTCATATCTAATGGCTTTAGACTACTGACAGAATTATCTCTCGTATTCATTTGCGAACTTGTAGAATTATTTGACGATGTAGATGTTGCAGCTGAGCAAGAGGTTGTTGTAGATTCGGAACGTTTTTGTTTTGATGAATTTTTTATGGCCATCATTTGTGGCAGTTTGGGTGAATCATTTGTTTCATTTGTCGAGACTGATGTTGTAGAATTAGAGTTGGAAAGTTTATTTTTGTTTTTGCTCTTCGATGATGGTTCTTTATTGTTGGCATTAGACGACGATGATGGTGGACAACAGGATAATTTTGATTGTTGTTGAGTTTGTGAATTCTTCTTATTCTTCTTTGGTTGCTTCTGCTTTTGTTGCTGCTGTTGCTGCAACTGCTGCAACTGCTGCATTTCTAATTCTTTTTGTTCTCTCAATTCTCTTAATCTTTGCTGCTCCTCCTCTATACGCTTACGTTCTGCCTCCTCAGCAGCTTCCTTTTCGGCCTGTAGTTTAGCCAAACGTTTTCTTTCTTTTTTTATTTGGGTTTTCGAAAGCTTCGGTGGAGGAGGAGGTGGTATTGATAGCAAATGTTCCGCAGTCAGTTTTGTAACATGTGCAGATTGCTGTGTTGTCGGTGGTTGGGGTGGATGAGGCAAGGGAGTTACCGCTGACATTTGTGGTATGGTTATTGGTGGAGCTGTGCCAGTTTGTATTAGTTGGCCATTTATAAAAGTGTATAGTAATTTGTCTTTATCTGGGGATGGTCCTTTAGCCGTAACCGTAACTTGAGGCTCAGGAACATTCGGCAAATTAACTCGCCTGATTGTTACTATGCGCTTGGAGGGATCTGTGGTATTGTTACTGGCTGTATTTGCCGCCATGGCCGCTACAACATCAGGTGCTAGCTGCTGCTGTTGTTGTTGAACTGAAGCCACAGCCGTGGTCGGTGGAGGGGCATAACACATGGGCGTAGCACGCATTAGACCAAATGGAGCTGGCGCCGCAGGAGTGGGAAAGCCAAGATTGTATGGAAAGTGGTTAGCATGGGCATAGGGCATGCTATACGATTCTGGTACCATATTTAAGTTGTTAGTTGGTGTCATAGTGAACGGAGAGGACGAAGCATTAGCAGCTGTAGCAGAATTCATGGCATCGCCACCTTCTTTTGCTGTGTGATGTAGTAAGTTACGAACTTTAATGGTTTTATCGCCTTCCTTGCTGGTATCGTGACCTTCCAACTCTCTTACTTTTTCCATTTGTTGCTCTTTAGTGGGCAAATAGGGGAATTTGAATTCGGTATTCGTTTGTTTAACCGTTGCTATTAGTTCTAGTATGGCAGTTTCAACTTTAGCTTTGGCACGTTGTAAATTCTTTATGTTACTTTCCAATTCACTGATTTTCTTTTTGTCCCGCTTCTTGTTGGCCTTTAAGGATTTAAGATTTAGTTTTTCGCTAAACTCCTTGAAGTAAATATTATGAAACTGTGATCTTAGATCTTGCAGTTCGGTTATACGTTTTTCTTCTTCTTTGCGTTGTTTCTGTTTGGCTTTTTTGGCAGCTTTTTTGGGATTTAATGTCTGTGGTTGTGTCTTCTTTTTGCCAGCACCTGCAGTCGGCCCTTCAATAAAACTAAGCGTCTCTTTAATCCATTTGCGTTTTGCTTGCTCTTTGGAATAATTATCGATAATTTCACATATTTCACTGACGAAATCCAAATTGTTGGCGGTCTTTGATGTTGAAATCGGTGTAGTGGTGTTATTCGTGGAATTATTATCTTTATTTTTTGTGCTCTGGCTTGATGTTGAAGCATCACGTGTGGAGTTGTTGCTTAAGTTTGATTTCTTATTTGGTGGTTCTAGTGAAGATGATTGCTGAGGCGGAGATGGATTGTTGTCATGCGGCTGTTGTTGTTGTGGTGGTGGTGGTGGAGGCGGTGGTTGCAACTGCTCTTGTTGTTGAACATGTTGATGAGTGTGTTGTTGAATCTTCTTGCTACTACTACTGCTACTGCTATTATTGTTGTTATTATTTTTCGATTCAGCTCCTTTTGGATTTGTTTTCAAATGTTGCAAGCATTCACAAAGATTGTGAAGATTATTATTACGTCTAGCTTCATTATGCAAATGATCAAATGTTGCAACAATATCATGAATCTCCCAAAAATCTGGCTGAGGCAAATACTGTTGAAACAACTTTAACTCTTCTGGATTTAATACATTTTCCATCTGATTTTGCGCTTCAGCACAAGCCGTTGCAGCACTTGTAGTCGGTGAAGTTGAAGTTGATGTTTGCGCAGTTTCCGCCGACTGCAATGGTTTGGCATTTTTTCTTGCATTCACAATTTGAGACAATTTCTTACGCAAACGATCTCTTGTCTCATTCATACGAGCATGATTGCAATCCTTAATTAAATAAAACATAATTATAATATTAATTGTCTATTTGTTTTATAAATAAAAATATACCTTTTTTAAACGTTTTTTACTCGAATGATTTTCTTTACAATGATCTGTACCCATATCAGAATGATCAAAACAACCTGAAATTTAAGCATTATTAGATGTTCTTAATAAGAAAACATGTCAACCTACACTTCTTTGTTTTTTCTTTGCAAGACTTTTTGGGCTGTGCCTCTACTGTTTCTGAAGGAGTTAAATCTGAGGTCTGGGGTTGTTCTTCATCTTCAGTTGTGGTCATGATTGGCGGTGGTATATTATCACATTGAGGAGGACTACTACTCATATGTAAAGGTCATTAAATAGAATAGACATTTTAATTAGTTTAATACTTACTCTTGGTTATCGTTTATTTTTAAAATATCATTCAATTTCCTTTGCATTTCAGCACTATTAACATTAACACCCACTTCAAAACTAATTCAAAAGAGATAAAAGCACATTATTACCATAAAAATAATAAATAACAAAAACATATCTAAATAATTTGTATCTAACATACTTGGATTCCACATCGTTATTATATGGTGATAAACTAAAAATACATAAAACCGTTAGAACTTATGCGAAATATTTCTCGACATCTCTTTTTGCTTACCTCTTGACCTTATCGAGAAATTCCAAAAACTTTGTATCATCCTTATTGCCAGTTATTTTGTCCACATTTACTTTTATGTCATTATTTACCAATTCCAAAACATCTAAATATGAAGCTTTGCGCTTTGTATGCTCTTGCATCTCATTGTCTCCAGAATTGCAAGCAACATTATCCTCATGATTACCACCACCAGTAACAGCGGAAGCATCTTTATCATTACCATCATCCCCATCATTGTCGTCGTCGTAATTAATAAAATATATGGCATATATTGAGATTATAAAAATCCAATAAATTTTAACAACTAAATCGTGTACATCTATTAAATCTAGTCCATTATTAGAGGCAACTAATTTACGATTGTACAACATTATGTTGGGTAAAATTGAACGCAATTCTTCGCGACTCATCGACATGGGCTGATAGTAATGTACCAGATCCTGCGAGAGTGACGGAGATATTTTGTTGGCTAAAATCTTATGTGCCAAAAGACAGGAAGGCAGTTTGCAATCACGACAAAAATATTCTTCTTCAATTGTTGCATGAGGATAACGTTTGCGATCTAAAAATGTTAAGATGTTTTATCTTTGTTAATATGCAATTATAAAAGGTATATTTATAGTCTAGCCATAGTATAGTATATAGTCTAAAGTCTAGTATATAGTCTAGTCCAAAGTCTAGTCTATAATCTAGTTTATAGTCTAGTTTATAGTTAAGTCTATAGCCTAAAGTCTATAGTCTAGTCTATAAGGTGGAAATTTGTATATTTTTTGCTATTTTCAGTAATTTTTCTAAAGTAATATTTCCAAAAAGTGTATTTAATAAATTTGATATTTTTCAGGAATTTGCACTTTGTTTTTTCAGTTCTTTTTAGTCAAAATTGTAAAAAAATCACAAAAAATTTTATCACATTTAGTATAGAAACGACAAAAATTGCAAATATAAATTACATATACATATGATTAATCCAAACTTACTGTTTAAATGATTGAAGACAGCCCATGAGATATGATAGCTATTATTAGTTGATATTGATGCTGTTTCTGAACTTATTTCGTAATCATTAATATTTAACATTTCTCCAACTGAAGCTAAGGTCGAATATAATTCTTGACCAACCTCTTGAAGGGCAGTGTTTTTACGTTTTGCACCATTATTGCTGGTCTTTGAAACCAAATTTTGAAAATCATCACTGGCACAAACGTTTAATATTTTCGAATCATAGAAATTGACATCTTTCTCGACAATTTCGTGTGCCAAACATTTGGAACATTTACCGTCGGCATTACGTCTAGGTGGTAAAGGTCCACCAGCTATAGAACACGTGATACATTTGCAGTAGCTGTGAATAAATAAATTTTAAATTTGAACACCCAGATTATAACAAAGAAACTACATACTCTGCATGATAGTCTAAGGAAACATTACACGTCTGACATTTATCATCTATTACTAAAGTGTTGGGCGGCTGAAAGAAACCATCTGGCCATTTCATTTTTGTATAGGACATTATATTCTTCCAAGCTAAGCGACGATTTTTTAAGAAACGAAAATCATAAAAATCATTATCGTCCACGCTGTCCTGCAGCGAAAATCCAATGGCATCCTGTACCACCGTATCAAAAATACGATACACATCTAAAAGTGATTTACGTCGTTTACGTTCTACCTCGGACAAATTGAATTTATTCAATTCGATCCATACATCGGTCCAACGTTTTTCAACATAATTCATAATGTCATCAAACTGTATGTAACGCTTGATAAGATCAGTATGATGAGAAGTTAACTCCTCCTCTTTTAACTATAAAACAAAAGAATAAATTTTTATATTTGCAACGATTATTGAGTAAAATTTGTTTAATAATTACTGTTATAATGCAGGCCAACATGGTGTCTGCCAAGTGAAAATGAACATGTTGTTGATACAAGCGTTGACAGAGAAGTTTCCAGGTTAAAGAAAATTTTCGCAAAAAGTCATTTTCAAAAGCAAACAAATAAGAAGCCACCTGCTCTGAAATGCGCATTAAATCATCATAGCCATTGAGAATATCTAAAATGTAAAGAAAAAATTGTTGTAAACACTAATAGAATTTAACTTGATAAACATATTTCTTTACAATTTATCATTTCATCAGCTGGTATTTTACTCTTATCGGGCTCTACAATTTCCAAAAAACCTTCCGCATAGGCTTCCACAATACATTCCACATGAAATGCCAATATTTGCAATAATAGCAAGGGATTATTTAGCATTAAACTGAAAAAAATTTTAATAAAACGAAAAATATAAGTAAATGTTAAAAAAACATTAGTTTCATTAGAAAATTACATGGAACTGAAGAGTACAAATATCATATTATCCGATAGATATTCATCATAAATAAAATCAAAATGCTCAGCCTTTTTATGGTATATAACACCACATGTTATCCAGTATATTTCCTTATTACTATCGAGTAGCTTTTCAAACTTATTATAAGCAGTAATGTTTCTATAAAAAATAAATAAAAAAAACATTTATATTTGATATGACATGATAAAGAAATAGTTACTTACTTCAACATAGGTCCATATGATTTAATTAAAACATCTAATAGCATAACTACCATATGAGTGGCTTTAAATTGTTCCACCATTATATGTATGACAAATTCACGATATTTTTCACAATTTTCGCATAAACAAAATGTCAAAAATTCATCATCAGAGTGAGTAACAACTATATTGGAAACGTCCTAAAATGTAGATGAATTAAATTTTGTAATAAGTTTAAATAATATAGTACATAGATATATTTTATTTCGTTTTTAGCTTAGGAAAATGCTTTAAGTCGTTAGTAATAAAAACATAAGATAAATACAACGATACAACCCTTCTACAACAATTGGGAATTGATTCGAGTTTAGTTGAATCTACCTAACCTATGGGCATTTCCCATAATTATTCTATATTTTTGACTATTAACTTACCATATACGGATTAAGAGGACAATTTTTCTTTTCCTCTGGACTCATAGCGGAAAATTCCATTATACGGCGTTTATCGATGTCTATGCAAACTATATTGTCATCACGTTGACTCAGTTCTGCCAGAGAGACAATCGACTTAATAATTATAGCAAGTATTTGTTGAGGAGCCAGTGGATCGAATTCTTTAATCGAAAGTATCTTCGATAGAGCTGTAGGTGGATTTTCGTCATCCATAACAGATATACAATTATTTTCGAAAAGTTTGAAAAAAGGCATTGAACATTTATCCGATAGCAAAGATGAACTACTTCCAGTACTGCTGCGACGATCGGTGGGTGCAAGAGCAAGAACGGCAGCAGTTGAAGATGCCCTAGCGTGATTGCAATTATAGCTGCAGGGTCCCTCATCGTCGCTGTGATAATATATCAAATCATAAATATCATTTTCAATTGATGTCTTTAATCTTGCACTGCTGCCGCTGCTGGCATTAGCACTATTCTCTCCAAGTGGTGGATAACAGTTAGATTTTTGTTTTTTACAATGTTTTGGTTTCTTATGCGGCTTTGAAACTGTTGTTACTGAAATATTTTTATTGCTAGTATTGTTTGCTGAACATTCTGTGTCCATTTTTTCTTCCAGATTTTTGGAAGCATTTTCAGAACTCAACTTTAAGGCAGCCTGGGCTTCAGTTAATAGGACATATGGATCAAAGTCTTTATTACTACCCAAAGCGAGAGGACTCTTTAGCTGCACACTTATTTTCTCACAACCATCATCCACATTCATTTCATCGTCTTCTGATTCTGAGGAGGATGAACTTAATTGCACATCGGCTTTTGACATTCCTCTTTTGGTCTTTAACTTGTCCACCATATCTGGTCTGAGACGTCTCAGACGTACTTTACACATTTTATTCTTCTTTGCATCCATTCTAAAGTATTTTCAATTCCAAATCAAATTTATTTTCACTTTGAATGATTGTAATTTTCCTATTTGGGCTTATAGCAATACATTTGCATCTTTCGTACTTCACTTTAACCTAGAATATGTTTTTAGAAATATTAAACTTAGGAATTTGTTCAAATAGTTTCAATTCGTCAATATTATAAGTGTTTGTTTTAAAAATAAACCTTTTTAATTAAATATAAATCCACTGTTCTGTGTACTGCACTTTTTTATAACAATTTACGTTTTTTTCTATCTAGTTTGTATATCAATATTCGCATTTTCACGTATTTTGCTTTGTTTTTGATATTCGTTGCAAATTACACAAAAATTGTCTTCCTCTTCTTCTTTTTGTACCTCTTAATTTCTTTCGTCTTCTGGATGTATGGATTTCAACCGTGAGAAGAGACTCGCTTTTTAAGACACATAAAATTGCAATTATGTTTTTTCCAACAACTTTCACTTACTTTTCAGTGCAATAAATTTATATCGTTTTATTATTTCATATTCTATATGGAACGATGTATCAAATGAAATGTTTTTTGTTATTTAATAATATTTATTTTCACTAAATTTTCGATAATAAATAATTCTGTGTGCACTTGATTTGTTGAATTTTTCTCGTGTGTATGAATTTTCTTCGTTTATCGCTTCGTTTCCACATTCGTTGTATAAATGATGATGTTGCCAGATTGTTTGTTTTGTTAGTTCCCGATTTAAAATTAACTTAATATTGAGGGAATAAGAACGCATAAATGAATGTCTATGAAAGCATTAATATAAATACAATAAGTTACCCCTGTTGAAATAAACATTGGTATAAGTATTTGTTATTAATTAATTGATTTATTTTGTTAATTTTTTTACTTCTAATATTGATATTTTTGTTCTTATAGGGTTTATATTACACGGATGTAATAATAAATAATTAAATATATTGAAACAATGAAAGAAAATTAAAATTTAAGAAAATTTGATAGTCGCAAGCTTTTGTAATATTCATTAATATGTACTAGAGTTCGCCCAGCGGTCGAAATTCGACCAGAACCTATGCTGTAAAAAATGCATAAATATGCTAAAATAAAACCCTTTTTTTGTAGTTCAAATCTGCGGTAAAAAATTAACTTTATTGATATTATCAAAGTGTATAATTTGCTTTGATTAATGTTTTCTTTTAGAAAATGTTATTGATTTTTGGTATAAGTCCCATCAGAAGTTTTAAACCTCAATTGTTAAAATTAGTTATACAACTTGTTTCTCAAAAGTTTTTCAACTATTTTAAAAATAATAAATAACGAACATTTCTTCTATCGACTTATTATCCCCTACATATTTACGCTACGTTCACAATGCTGGAGTACTCTACTGCACACACCATTAAAGATATGTTAGCTGTTCAAAATACAGAGTGGAAATGTTCTAAATAATTTGTCAAAACAATAAAAATATTTAAAATAAATAATGTCTTATCTAATTATAAATAAATTTTATTTGGATGTCATTAGTAGTCCTTCCATCAAGTATATGCTGTATAAATTCTCCCTTGTAACACTCGACAAAGACTTCAGCAGACCTACATTTATTAAATAAACGATAAATTGCTAAGTACGGTTAAACACTCTTCATCCCAAAAGACATGATTTATATTTAGCAGTTTCATCTAGCAGTTTCATCTATTTTTATATAGCATATAACCATCACCTATTCAACTTACAGTTTTCACTTTACACTACTATTTCCTAATTGCTTAGAATAACCCAAAAAAAGAAGAATATCATCAAATCCTCGCTGTGCTAAATCTGCATATAAGCGATATACCTATTCATTTATTGCGGTGTATCATGTACCGACATGACGAACTAAACTTTACTTATATTTTATACAGGCTTTTTTTATTACTTACTGACACTGAATCAACTCGTTAATCCATCAATTCAGTATTTTATTTCACCGATTTTTTTATTAAACATAATCGAAAAGCATCGGTAGTGTAACGACCAATAAAAAGTTCACGTTAATAATTTTATAATTTAAAAATATTTCAATACATAACTTTTGACATTCTTATAGTTTCCCGATCTTTGCCTTTAAAATATTCTACGGTCGTTAAAAAGTTAGGGAATTGAATATTCGTTAATGTAACCGATATTCGTCATTACTTTACGATATCAATACTTAAAATTAAAAAAAATTACTGAATTCCGGTACTGATGTCCTACCAATATTTTTCCAGGTCAAACACCAATATCAGTACATTTTTTGGCATATCTTGAGGTGTCCCCAAGCATTATTTACACATCTTTTTATATTCCCAGTTTGTTGTTTCCTCGGGAATGTACTTCAATTTAATTATCTTGAAAAGTTTAAATAACAAAAAACCTCCAATAGAAAACTCTGAATATAAAACTGAAGTCCTAATTCTTATAAAAATATTCCTTTCGATTTGGTAACAATCGTAACGATATTGTTACGAAATTGAATTTGCATTTAAACTAAACGGTTTTTAACGGCCAGTTCCCGAAATTTCTTAGCGACTAACATTTGGGTGGCATCACTAAGCGTTGAAGAGGTGTGTGTCTCCACTAAACATTGACTTACATCAGTAGAAGTATCTAGATGATGGAGCCAGAATAAACTGGAAATATAAAGAAGGTGATGCCCATGTATAAATAGCGGTGGCAATCACCAAATGAGTCAGTCTGTAATAAATCGTCATTGAGTAAAGTTAATAAAGTCAAGTGTGCTTTCGTGTGTTAAAGATAAAAAGACAGCCTTACAGTCTACTATATAAGTTGTGTTATAAAAGTATTTGTGTATAAAACTGTGTAAATAAAGAGTTGTTGTAGTTTTTAACAAATTGACGCTTTTATTTGCAATAAGAAGAATCCAGTTTATTTCAAAAGGAAATAAACGAACGTTTTAAAAGGTAAAACGTAACAATTGGTGTCAGAAGCGGAATTGCATAATAAAAAGCAGTCATGAAGTTCGAAGAACTAAAAGTGGAACAACTCAAGAGAGAATTGAGTAAGATGGAGTTACCGACAGCCGGTAATAAGGCAGAATTGCAAAAGAGGCTAATAGATGAATTCAAGCGGCGTGACATTGACATAGGTACATACGAATTCGAGTACAAAGAAGAAACTGAGATATGTACTCGCTCAACAACGAGCAACATGGACTTAAACACAATGTTTGCCGCTATGATGGAGAAATTTGCTGAAGTTCAAGAAACTTCTAAGGCTAACTACGAGAAACTTCTTACTGACAACGAGAAACTTCTTACTGACAACGAGAAACTTCGAGCTGAGGTTAAAGCTGAAGTAAAGGAAACTTTTAAACACTTAGCTGAAATGGAAGCAAAATTTCAGGAAAGTTCAAGAGCCACAGAAGAAAAAATTCTGGAAGTGTCTGAGGTTATTAATAGCAGAGTAGATGGCATTGACAAAAAGGTGTCAGACTTAGAAACAAAGATGAATAATCTGCAATATCAAGAAGGAGCTGTACGAATCATTCCAGAAACCTCGAGTAGAATAAAAGCCCCTAGTTTTGATGGCACCACACCTTTTAATGTGTTCAAGTTCCAGTTTGAGACAGTTGCCATCAGAAACATGTGGAATAATGAAGAAAAAGCTATAGAATTGATCTTAGCCTTAAAAGGAGGTGCTTCAGTAGTTCTTGAGAGCGTACCAGTGAGCAACAGAAATAATTATGACGACATAATGGAAGCACTACAACGCAAGTACGGTGGAGAACATAAAAAGGAATTATACCGAATGGAATTGCGTGGCAGAGTGCAGAAGGCCAATGAGACACTACAAGACTTTGCATTGGAAATCGAGCGATTGATACAGCTTACTTATCCAGGAGAACATCACCCGTTTTTGGATATTTTCAAGATAGAGGCATTTGTAAATGGCATACGTGATCCTGAGATAAAACATGCGGTTTGTGCCACACCAAAGCCATCATTCGCTGAAACTGTCTCATTTGCGCTGGCACAAGAAACGGCTAAAATAATTTCAAAGCCACAAATATTCAAGGTACGAAATGTCGAAGTTGTCGCTGAAAACGAAAGGAATATAGTCACTGAGATAAAAGAGGCAGTTTTAGAGGCTTTAAATGAGAAACAAAATAAAGCCAAAATCAAATGCTATAACTGTGGAAAAACCGGACATATTCAGCGAAACTGCAAAGCACAAAGAAAACGTACCAGATCGGTCTCACCGCCAAGAAACAACCAACAGGTAAATCATCACTCATCACAAGAATCACCTTTAAATTAAAACGAGCTAGCACTGAGGGGCAAGAGCTAGCTCCCACATATGACGGCCCCACAATCTCCATATCAGTAATGCAGCAGAAAAATAGTAATCTAACTGCTGGTGGATACATCAATGGTCGAAAGCACATTTTTACTATAGACACAGGAGCGTCGCAGTCTATTATTAGACCAGATTTAGTTAAGAAAACAATTGAACCACTATGCGGGGTAAGATTACGCACCGCCACTGGAGAGCCTGCCACTGTCTATGGTAAAGTAAATGCGAAAGTAATCATTGCCAACATAAGCGTAGATCATGTATTTATTGTTGCCGATATCGTGGATGAGGTAATCATTGGTGCAGACTTCATGATTATGCATGGCATTAAATTACATCTGGGACCAAATGTTATGATTTGGCGAAATGTTGAAATACCTCTTGATGTCGGATATCAAAGTAAGGCCTATGTAAGAAAACTGGTTGCAGTAGATCATCAAAATTTGCCACCGCCACTGGCCGTGTGGGTCAGTGTTGAGGAAGATTGCATGGATAACAGCTTGTGGGTGGCAGAATCAGCATACGTGAAAAGTGACCATGTTACAATGGAGGTGCCCGTTCAACCGTGCAATGACGATGTGGTTCCTGAGCGAAAGCTTGATCTGCCCAGCTGTAAAGAGGTCGACGAGCTGGATTCCAAGATGGGTAAATGTGCTTCAGCAAAGGCAGCAAATAATTGTGAGAAAAATACCGCCAGGGAATTCACCAAAGAACAAGGACCTAATGAAATCGTTCAGAGACGATTTAAAGTGGCAAGCGAAAAGATGATGGCCAGATATGATCGAGTCGGGAATGTTAAAGAGCCGTTAGTACCACACTATAACCCACAACGTAGTAAGGGATTGTCTTCCAAACCACAGAATTACTGGAAAGTTCAAAAATTGGACGACGTGGTCTATAGGATACGAAAATGTGGAAGACTGTAAATCTGTGCCTATTCGGGACGAACAGGCTTAAGCGGGGGACAGTGTTACGAAATTGAATTTGCATTTAAACTAAACGGTTTTTAACGGCCAGTTCCCGAAATTTCTTAGCGACTAACATTTGGGTGGCATCACTAAGCGTTGAAGAGGTGTGTGTCTCCACTAAACATTGACTTACATCAGTAGAAGTATCTAGATGATGGAGCCAGAATAAACTGGAAATATAAAGAAGGTGATGCCCATGTATAAATAGCGGTGGCAATCACCAAATGAGTCAGTCTGTAATAAATCGTCATTGAGTAAAGTTAATAAAGTCAAGTGTGCTTTCGTGTGTTAAAGATAAAAAGACAGCCTTACAGTCTACTATATAAGTTGTGTTATAAAAGTATTTGTG